GGGGGGGAAGAAAGGAAAGGGTGGAGAACTGAGGTCTCTGTATTTCTAGTAACCCTGGGGCCTGGTGGGAATTATCTACAAGAGGCTGGATATTATAGGGCTGATTTTGCCAGAAAAGTGTCAATTTCCAAATGCTTGGAATTTCAGGGCATCTCTGTATCATTTTAAATGTGCCAGATCTTGCCTATTTTGATCCAACGGCAATGATTTTGTTTTGTTGTTTTGTTTTGAGAGTATTTTTATTTTCATTGAAATTGAATTATAATTTTATTAAGTATCCATTCATTCATCCACTTAAGGGGAGGAAATTAAAATTCCTTCTCTTCAAAATCAAAGGAGAGTTGACAGTGTAAATACCATGCCACTGGAAAACAACGGCTCAAGGCTCTGGAGTCTGGATAAAATGGCTCTGGAATGGTTGCCTGTGACCAGGAGGGTTGTCTTGAGAGCATAATGTTCTCTCTTGGTATCTTTTGATCCTCACATGGTTTATTTTTCATGGAGATCACCATTCGTCCTCTGGGCATCATGACTTGGGAGCAAGAAGGATAAGGTTCATTCTGCTCTAAGCTCTCATTGGCTAGCTCTGTGTAGAGTGTTTACCAATTTTCTTCTGGTTTCCTAGTCTCCAAGACACTAAAATTCTCTGAGGTCCGAGTTTATGAGGTGGTATAGTGTCATTTCATTAGAAAGAAAGTACACACTCACTGTGCTGACCTTTAGCCTGCTTGCCCTATGCCTGGAGTGTTCTTGAAAATAGCTCCACACAACAAAGATTAATCCATAGTGATTTTCCTATCTTATTTGTGTTCTCAAGTGTTGTAATACCCCAACGGAAAACTTTCAGCCTAAAATTGGTTGTAGGAATTTGACAAATGGACTGTGCAAAGCAATGTGTTAAACAGCAGTGTTTGGATGATGCCCCATCTAAACACTCTTATTTCCAGAATCTTTTCAGGAAAACTCTAGAACGTTGGTGGATACCTATCAAGGTAGTGGCTATAAAGACTTCCACCTTCTGCTTGGAATTGTGCAAAAGCCAAAAGTTTCACTTTTTTCATTATTTATTCTTTTAGTAATAGTTTATTGAACATACATTGGAAAATTAGCATTTCAAAAATTCTGAGTCTAAAGGTAGGTAGCATCACATGAAATGTTCTTAAATGTTAGAGGAAAGACAAGCCATAAACCAGATAAAATATGCTGATGCTAAGCGCCAAAGATGAAATAAGCCAGAAGTAGAGCAAGGGAGTTTTGAGGTACTTGCTGCTTTAGATGTGGGGCTAGGGAAATTCAATGGAAAGATTTAGTCTTTGTTGAAATCTAAAGAGGGAGAACAAGCAGGCACTTTTCATCTGAAACCTGAGCACAACATTCCAAGCAGAAGACAAGGGGTAGATATGCCACACTTGGAGCAGGTGTCCTCTAACAGTTTCCTCCAAGATTGAAACCTTCCTTCCTGCAGGGAAGGTCCTTAAACTGGAAAGTAAACAACTCACAATACTTTCAGGAAGTTTCTGAAACTGACCAGATTCACAAGGCCGCTTCCTGCCTGAGAAAGCAATAAACGCTTAGTGTCCTCAGACTGGCAGAGCCAAAGTACAAGGAAAACTTTCAGACAAGCAAAGCTGTAAAGAAGGCCCTGAGACAAGACCAGCTGCCTAGAGGAGGGAAATCTGGTTGAGCCACCTGGAGGAGGTTTTGACCAACTGAGTCACTTAGAACAGACTCTTCAATCTGTTGAACTGCCTGCAGCAAGTTGTGCTCCAGTTTCCTGGCTTTTGTGAACTATCACCCACGCTGGGGTGGGCTTTGGGGATGTAGCGGTCTTTGAATAATTTCTGCTCATGTAGGTAAGACCTCACTCATTTTTCTGTAAAGAACCCAAATAAAACTCATGGTTCGGCAAGCTGGACTTTGGTGGTGTCTGGACTGAAAGGGTTAGACTAATTTTGTAACCTATATGTCTTCTAAAGCCTATAGTTTTGAGTTTTAGGTCCAGGTTAAACTAAAGCCTCTTAGTACCTTTCCAGAGAATGGAGGAATGTGACCCTATCTGTGAGGACAGATATAAAAAAAAGCAAGCAAGCAATGACCTTCACTCAGCAAAAAGAACTACCAGACCCTTATCTTCAAGATAGTGTTTCTTAGCAACAAACCCAGACTTCTTCTGAGTAGCTTTTGATCTCCAGCCAAAAGTCTGAAGCCCCCAATCTTCAAGGATGAGCTAACCACTCCCACCTTCAATTGCAGCTGCTTCCACACTTGGCAGGACTGGCCAAGCTTGAGCACCTAAGACTAACCAATTATCTTACTTTATAGCTTCCTCATCCAATCCTAAATTGCCAAAACTGCAACTTCAAATTTCCCACAATTTTTCTTTTAAAAACCGAAAGGCCTTTGTCTCCCCGTGCCACTCTTTGCTGACCAGCAGGGGTGACCCCATTGTGCAATGGTTAGATTAAACCTCTTGCTTTTGCAACGAGTCATGGTCTGGGGGAATTTCTGGGAAGGGCGTGATCTTAAACTCCTGAGCTGTGAGACCCCAGGTCTTACAAAACTTTGGTCATTGTGGACTTTGGTCATTGTGGGTGAGTAGACAAGTGTGTAGCAACTCCGAAGGAAAACTGTCATCACACAACGCAAGTGAAACATTTTTGGAATTTGAAAGGTGAAGGGGATCATTCTGTAAAAAAACCTGCAGAAGTTTGGAAAAAAGGTAAGAGAGAAATAAATCTGGAGTCTAAGAAGCCATTGTGATATAAGTACCGCGCGCTAACCGATTTAGAAAGATAAATGGGATGTGCATTGAACTTATGACAGGAGTCTACCACAAAAGGCATCTGAAAGACTCTACCTAGCAGTGTTTCAAAGCAGACACTAAGACTCATAACCAAACCCTCGGCAGAGTGCAGGGAATCATATGAAAGAAGGGAAGTTAGTATGATATGGAAAGGATAGGAGCTCTACAAGGACCAAA